CCTCGGCAGCGCTAACGCGCCATGAGTTACGCTTTTTAATGCGCTATTAACGGTGCCCCGGCGGCTTCGCGGGCTGTGCGGAGCGCGCTGGCCGCCGAGCGCCGTTACCGGGGATCTTGGCGAGTGCAGCGGGGGCGGGGGGGGGGCACGGGGCTTGGGTAGGAACTCAGGGCACTGAAGCGGACGCTTCTGCACAACACGCACTTTCCCCACCTTGAACTCGGCTCTGCTACCATCATTTGGGCAGAAAAAGCGCTTTTAAAACAGTAACACCGGCCGCTCTAATCTGCTTTAATTACAGGGTTTGCCAATCAAAGAGGGAGCGGGCTGAAATTGGGAACTCCTTTAGGGGGTGGCGGTGTCCGAGGTATGAATCAATCCAAACTACATATAGATTTTCTCCGGTACAACCTCCTTGCATTAAACAGTTTTGTTCAATACCTTCCATGCGCTATTTATGTTCCCATTAATATCTGTTGCAAATCCTGCCAGACACCATAAAAGAAAATTACAATCTTGCAGACTCGGGGCTGCGCCAGGACATACACGCGGCTCGACTTTTTGTTTTAATAAAACCCCCGGCATCGTCCGGCTGCCGGGGCTGCGGGTCGGGGCCGCCCCCGCCGCCGGCCCGTGCCCATGGCCGCTCCCCGCGGCTCCCCACGCGTGGGCAACATGCGTTTCTCTCTCCCAAAATCCCATGGGAAAAGCGCGAGCAGTTGAGGTGGCCGCGCAAAGACGCCCTTGATGCTCGAAATTATTTTTAATGCGCGGGAAGGAGATTTGGAGGCTCCCGCAGCTGCTGTGTGAGCGAGCCATGGCTCGGGGAGCAGGGGCTCGGCGCGAACTTGCTGCACCCCGAGTCGGTGGCTGGGGGGAGGCGGGAGAGGACGGGGCTGTGCCCGGACACCCACGCCGTGCCGCAGGGGTGGCCAGGCAGCCGTCAGGGATGCTTGGGGGGCAGCGGAACCCCCTTGCTCTGCACCGCTTCCCTCTCGCTCGTCCCCGCGGGCAGCCGGGGCTCGCGCCAAGCAGCAGCTCCCGGGCCCCGGGCCCTCCGCCTGTGCCCGCCGCCTGTTCCCCCCGCCTGTCCCCGYCACCTGCGCGGCGCCCCGCGGCCCGGCAGGTGCCTGACATCCCCCCCACACCCGGGGCTGCGGAGCCGCTCGCCGGCCCTGCCTGCGGCCGCCCGCCGCGCTCGGCCCGCGCAGTCYCCGGCGAGACCCCCGCTCCCGTTGCCGCGGGACGGTCGCTCCGCAGCCCGCGCTCCCTCCGACCGCGAAAGCGCCGTCGGCCGAAGCAGAGCGGCAGCGGGGACGACCTGCACCCCTCGCTGTTATTTGTATTTATTTTTAATTAAACCAATTTCTAATACACTCTGGGAGAGCCACAACAGTCCCTCGCGCACAGGTTTCAATGAGGTCTCTCTAACAGGAAATTTTCCCTTCCTTACATTATAATTGAACGAGCCTACTTGGAGAAAAGTTGGAATTCTTCATAGAGGTATTTGCTGGGCTATTGTCTTTGTGCAGTGAACTTTACATCGCGTTATTCAATCTCCATCTATATTCTCCTAGCTACCAGTAAGATTAATTTAATCATTGTAATGCAATTATTAATACTGTTTACCCAACGCTTGATTTCAGGTTTGCTGTTAAGAAATTAAGCTTCTTGCTGGGTGACCGAAAAAGCTATGCAGGGATTTCCAGGCTACGTTGAAATGAAACAGTCCTCTTTATTTAGTCTCAGAACTGCAGCTTTCAGCCATGGGCTCAATTAGCCAAAATGGAAACAATTTTCATTCATTGCAATAACTCACTGTTCTGCTGATCACTTTCAAAATATACACTTTATTATTATACGCTGACCTCGGTGCCGCGAAGTGGCAAGGCTAGAAAGAGGCAGAGGGATCTCTCCAGCCCCCTTGGGCTGTAATTATTAGAAATTAATTGGGTTCAAGACCCTGGGTAGCATGGGTAAATTAATAGCTTGTCTGGTTGTTTAAATCCGAATTCTCAGTCCACGGGAGAGCAAGAAAGGGAGCTCGCGAACGTGAAATGCAGCCCCAGGAGACGCGAGCCGCCCGCGCCCCCTGCGCGCCCCGCGGAGCCCGCCGGCGGAGCGGGGACCCTCGCACTTTATTTCCCTCCTTGTTTTCGCCGGCGCTTTGTTTTCGGGGAGCTCTTTAGGGGTTAAAATAAAAAATAAAGATCCTGTATACTTGGAGCTGTCGTGCGGGAGTAAAAGTGAAAAGGGAGCCTTAGGCAAAAGGAAATTACTGCAAGCCCGCGTGACCTTTCCGAGAGGTAATCAATCAAGTGATCAACAGGGATATTTATCATTGCTAGATGGGGCTACTTTACACATGCAGAGAAGGGGGCACGGATGCGCGCACACACACACCCGCTCGCACGAAACTTTGAATAAACCCGATAAACCTCAAATCAAGCGCGTAGATTTTAATCACTGCGAAGATCGTGCGTTTTCTTTTCTGGGCTCCAGAAGGAACGAAAGGGACAAAACCACTCGAAAGTTTCCCAGTAAAAAAATACCTCCTGCCCTAGGTGGTCACATGGAAGCTGACTTGGGAAAGGCTGGGAACGAGAGAGATGATTTTAAAAAATCTCAAATACAAAGAAAAAAAAAAAGGAAAAAGAAAAAAAAAAAGAGATTGAGGCTTTGATAGTCAGAGTCGGTGTTTGTTTTTATATAATGTGTTTTTATTTGCTGCCTTGAAACTCGGAGGCTGTGGAGAGCTGCCTGCTTCTTGTCCCCGAAACGGTTAACTTCGAAAACAAAACAAACCAAAAAACCCATGCCCCCTCCTATATGAAATGAGCGATCTGGTTCAATTAAACTTGCTCTCCATAGCATAAAGCATCCGCCACAATACAGGCAATGAAAACCAACAATAAAAGCACATGCATTTTCTGCTCAGTTTCCTTCTCCCTTGTAAAACATGCCGTCGTGTAAGCACCAGACATTTAATTTTGCTTCCTATAACTTACCGGATTCCTTAACAAACCTAGTAGGATTTTTTTTCTTTCTTTCTTTTTTTTTTTTTT